AATGAAAGGCATGGGGACTGTAAAGTACATCCAGGGATAAGCTTGTTGTCGTTCCTTCAGTTTTTTTTAGGGGTCCCTTAGCAACAACGGTGACCCGGCTGTTCAGGTTATACATAGATAAGTCTCAGATGCTCCGCTGTCGGTGATGCCAGGGTCACGAGATACAATCTGCGGGTCTATCAGTCAAAACAAGTTTGCTGCTGAGGTGTGCTTCCCTGCCTCTCCTCCTCCTCCCTGGCTTTAGGAATATTAAATATGCGAGGCGTCCCCCACTGCAGATGCAATGCTATTGATTTGGTGTCAATCCTCAAAGCCGCAGTAACATGATTTGGTATCAGCAATGGCTAAATGAGACTTCTCCCAGCAAGAATGGGAGAAGAGGTGAAAGGTTGTCAGGTTTCTCATTCGGAATGACTCCTTGTTTACAGGTAGCTTGATATTTGTCCATAGACCTTTGGTTAAGGATTCAGTTGGTCTCTCATCTTACGTCTTGAGAAAGCTGAGGCTGATTTTACATGGCATTTGAGTACATAGCATAACCTTGGCTACTTGGCTGTCTTCTTCTCTTCTCAAAAAAAAAAAGCCTTGAGAGTATTGAAACTGCAGAGATGAACCAGACATTAGAAGTGTTTCTCTAATTCTTTTAAAGTTACACCAGGTCCTGGCCACATCCCACTGGGTCTCTCTGGAGAAAGTCAAATTTTCTTAAAGCAATATTCATCATAACTGATTCTCCTCTAATGAGGATTCCAACCCCCTACAGTGCCCAGTGCTTCACCAGAGTCAGCAATGATCTTAATGCAATTAAGGCTGCAGCCTGACTGAGCCGCTTCGACTTTGCGACTGTTTGCCCGGCTGCTTTTTAAAAAATGTCGACAGAGCCAGATAAGCAGCGCTCAGGCGCTCGAGGCGCTTTCGCTGGAACCTATTTGACTTGCTTTACTTGGCATCAACTTCATTTATGCTGTTTGACTTTAAAGATTACTTTGAGCGAGGGACATCTGTGGATGCAATTTTAATACATACGTGGTTTCTTTGAATAAAACACATGTACTCACTCGTTTTTCTCTGCAGAGACACCTGCAAGCTGTGGGGTGAAAACATACACCGCTAGCATGTGTCTGCTGAAACGGTTCTGAGGGTATTTTATTTATTTATTTATTGCTTGTCTGTGTGCAGGTGAATAAGAAATACAAGTATAAGTGACTGCTTATAAAGAAGTAGCAGTCTATTTTATTTACAGTATGTATCTTCTTGGGCAGTTTTAAAAATGTTATTTTATTTCATTTTATTGCATTTTATGAGACGAAACATATAAAAGGCAGAGGAATCCAGCGGCGTTATCTGCATTGTGATGCTGCATTGTGATTCACCATGAACCCCTGACAGTGGCTCTGTTTTTGTCACATCACTGGCACGGTTCCCACCTCACTGCTAAGAGCCCTACATCGCTGCGTGCTCTATTACAATAGCTCAACATTGCCACCAAGTGGTACACAGCAGCCATGACCCCGGTTTGGCAGAAGGTTAACAGCTCCAGATGCTTGCAGTCAGTGCAGCACAAGGGGACGGCGCTGCAGATGCAGGTGTCACTGTGGGGCTCAAAGAGACGAGCAGACGTCAAATAATCACACAGCTTGGCTGCATTCCCAGTTTTTGATGAGCAGACATGGAATCAATGATCTGTTCATTAGTCCTACATGAGCAAATCTGAGAGTGATCTGCTGCCCAAAAGAGGCAAAAAAAATCAATACTGCATGTGGATACTCTTTGCACCACATCCTTCTCTCCATACATGATAATCTTTTATCTCTGGCAACTGAAACGAATAAATGCCAATAACTAGGAACAAATATGCCTCTATAGTCTATCAGGGGCTGTGGGTCGAATCTTTGTCTAATTGAACATCAGCTGGGGGTGGGGGGGGGTCTTAGCTAGAATGTGTTTTAGCTTTCAGGCCCTGGAGTCTTTTTTTTCCTTGCAATCAAGGTCACAGTGTGAGAGCGTGAACAATGCACGAGGTTATTTCCCTCCTGCCTTCATTACTATACAATTAGCTGTGGTGGTATTCCATTTCCCTCATTTCAGACTTTGTAGATCGATATTGCTCAGGCTCCTGGCTAAGTAGCTGCGCTGCTGGTAGGGCTTTTCAATAGCTGAATGGGAGGCATCAGTCACTGAGCTAAAAGAGATGTTTGAGAGCTGTAGTCGGCGATGGCCACACACACACACACACACACACACTTTGATGAGCGGTTGTAGAGACTTTGCAAAAACAGTCTCACAAATACGGGGGACACTGGGTGATTTTTAAAGAGGAGATTGTGCTAATGTCAAGTTTGAACAATGGTTCCACTATCATCATTATCAAGGTCATTTATTTGCTTGTGTTGAATTTTGCTTTGAGTCTCCTTTCTTTTTCATTCATTGCTTTAGTTTAAAGGTACAAAAAATGGGTACAAACAGTTTTTTTGGTTTGGATATCATTAATTGGACCTTCTTGCTGGTGGAACAAGTGGCTACAGAAGCTGAATGTATCACAGTAGCACGGTAATGTGCTTAAACTTGAATGCATCTACAGTACAAGGCGGTATTTGCCCCTTGTCATGCTTAAATGTTACAGACTATCAAACAAATTATATTATTTCCACTAGCCACACCCCAGCCTGATTATTGCTAGACCTGTTTGAATCAAGAAATGACTTAAATAGAACCTGTCTGACAAAGTGAAGAAGGCTAAAAGATCTCATAAAGCTGCTTTTCAGTAGCTGAATGGGATGTATCAGTCATTGATCGACATGTGTTCGAAGACATCGTGCCACAATCTAAAGAAACTCAAGAACCAGTCTGGAAAGGGTTAAAGAGCCATTTCTAAGCCTTTGGTACTCCAACAAACCAGAGTTAGAGCCATTATCTGCAAATGTAGCGCACTGGTAATAGGGGTGAACCTTCCCAGGAGTGTAGACGTATACAAGAGCGCATCAACAACTCATCCAGAGGTCACAAACGCAAAACAACATCTAAAGAACTGCAGGCCTCACAGTGTTCATGATTCGACAGTAAGAAAGAGATTGGGTCAAAATGATCTAATACTAACACAGCATTTGGCAAAAAGAGCAACATACCAACAGTCAAACATGGTGGCGGTGCTGTGGTGGTGTGGGGCTGCTTTGCTGCTTCATTACCTGAACCATGACTGAGATCATGATGGACCTGGACCATGATGGACCCATGAATTTGGCCCTCTACCAAAAAATCCTAAAGGAGAATGTGTGACCATCAATTTGTTCCCTGAAGCACACCTGAGTTGTGTAGCAGGGCAGTGAAACACACCAGCAAGTCCAGCTGTGAATGGCTCAAAGAAATTGATTGAGATGTTTTAGCATAACTCCAAACTGGCCATTCAAAAGCTTGTGGTGTGTGTGGCTGGATGAAAACAACTCTTCAAAGAAGCATGGGCCAAAATCCCTCCACAGCGATGTGAAACACTCATTGCCACTTACTGCAAGGGCTTGATTGCAGTTCTTGCTGCCAAGGGTGGCACGACCAGTTATTTCGTTTAGGTGGCAATTACTTTTTCACATAGCTTAATAAATTAGATCATCATACAAAAAATGCATTTTATTTTTTTCTGGATGATCTCTGTCTCATTTTTTGATTTTTTTGGAGGATGTGAAATATTTAAAGGTCAAAGAAATCCAGATGGCAGCAAATACTTTTTGTGACACTATTCTTGTGCGTGATAGACCAAGGTCAAAAGGCCAGGTTATCAACACATCACCTCTCCAATTCATCAGCTCATTTTTATTTGGCACAGTCCCTGATGAGAGCATTTAGCAGCATAATGACAGGAGGGATGAGATATGAGCCGAGCCAGTGGCTGCAGAAAGTCTACAGAAAACACGGAGCAAGGGCTGTGCAATCAGACACCACAACTGACTTCATCTCAGAGAATAATTACATGTGGCACTGACTCCGAGGCTGGTTATTAATGCCTATAATGGACAGGCAGCAGAGGGCACTGGATCATGGTCACATGAAGGGTGAATGAAATGTACAGTAGTACAGTAGTATCCTGTTTTGTTAAAAAGGACCTATTGTGCTCATTTCCAGGTCCATATTTTTATTTGTAAACTTGACTTGGGCAGTCAAATGAGCCATGGCTCATCCTTATTTACCTCACACCGGGGTGTGGTGCAGGCCATCAGTGTGAATCGAGTGACTTTAGCTCACAACCCTTTCCCTAGCCAACTGACAGAACGAGCTGTGTGCCTAAAATGACCTTATTAGGGTTATCCTCTGACATCACACAGAGTCAAGAGTAGAAAATAAAGCTTTTGAGTCACATGGGTTGCTTGTATATATCCTAATTGTATATATCCAACAGTTTATGCAGTACATTAAAAAACTAGGACCATAATAGGTGCAATATCTCAAAGACCTTTTTTCAGTTGCTGTTAAACTGTCTGTTGGAAAATACTTGAATTTGGAATCGTAGAAAAACGTTGCATTGATATTTTAATGTGCTGCAGGCCATACATGCTACATTAAACTGGGCCGTTTTGTATTAAATGTGAGAAAGTGTTCTGAAGTTAAGCATGTTTGCAGCTAGTGTTAACTAAATGATTTCACACCTGCACTCTGCTAAACCTCTTTGTCTGTTTTACTGAGCTAAGCTGATCTTGAATGGACAGATTCAGACAAAGAGCTCCCTTTTTATGAATTGTGAAAGAATATCTTTGATGTTTTACTTGACACAATTGTTCAATTTTTTTAAAAAAAAAGAATTTCTTCTTCACCAAAATCGCCAGCTTTCATTATGAAACATTATCTGTATTTATAGTAACAGCACAAAGTTTAAGTAAAATCAACCATCTTTAAGATCAAAGCAGCTGCTTTAATTTAAAGTGTTCCCTGCTCAAGTAAAAGAAGAGAAAGATTTATGTGAATACACCTTTGATTCAGCATACAAAGTGAAAAGAGGACTAAAGCAAGACAAATTTTACTGTTAGTATCATTATTATTATTATTAGTCACAGAATCTCATAACAAGAACACATATTAGAAAGATGCCTGCTGCATTTAATACTGAGGAATCATGTAGAAACAGACCACGAGGAATAGCATGACATCGTTCCGAATAACAGCAAACATCCAATCGTCAGGCAAGGAGTGGCACAGGACAGGCATATTCGTTTTTTTCTTTGTTTTTTTACCAAAAAAATAAATACCAGCAAACTGAGGAGCCTCATTCAGCGACAAACTGGCAGTTGAAGCAAACGCCACTCAAAGTCTGAAGTCATCTCTCCACAGGCACCAAGAGACAGAAACATATCCTCTGTGTGGAATTTCAAGAGATCATACTTGCTAAATAAACGAAAAGTTGGCGTGCTACGTAAAAAAAAAAAAATTACAAATTTAAAAATAGAAAAAAATATCTGTCAGGAGAATACGAGGAAGAAGGAAGAAGCATGCAGATTATAAACAGCGAAAATACAACTTGCATGGAAACTTCTCAGGAAAATGTTTTTAGAAGCTGCTGTCAAATAAAAACGGCTCCAGTTCTAATCTTGTTCTTTTGATTATTTCATTTATTTTTTCTTTAATGCTCTCAACGCATTTACTGGGAAAGAAAAATGGGCTTCTTCATGTGACAGCAGCATTCCTGTTTCTGCTACATTCACTGTACTGCAGGAGGATGGGTCATCTGTCACTGCACTGGTACAAGACAGTACTCTATACTGAAAATAACACCAACCGCAATAACTATAGTTACTGATATTCAGGTAAACGTGACGAAGAACAGAACATTAATTAAAGTCCATCCCAATTACAGCCGTCGCCACGGTTCTTTCAGCTGTTTCCTTAGCTGCCGTTGTCATCCCACTTCATACGGGCACCACAAATATTTTATCTGACATCAAAATTGGTCCTATTATTGGTCCGCTGAAATGTATTTCAAAACAACAAACAAGAGGAGAGGGGGGGAAAAAAGTTGAGCTTCCCACTTAAAGGAGACTGTAGCTTAGTCTGGGTGGCAGCTTTACATTCTTGGCAATAACAGCACCTCTTTTATGTTTTAAAGAAAAGACAACTGCGCCAATCTGCAGTGTGCTCAAATTTACAAACTCCACTGACGTGAACATTTCACCAAGAAAATACAATTTTGTGGATTTTCTTTTAAATATATATAGATATAGATATATAGAGAGAGCGAAAGAGTAAGTATTTAGTAAGTATTTTACAGTAACACTCGTGGCCGACACAGAATCAAAATGCGCATCTTTTTTTTTTTTCATAGAAATCATACAGAGACATTCGGTTCACACTGGTCGTCACATTCCTGTGAGTCGGGCAGAGAGGAGTGCTGCTGCAGCGTGTGTCCACCGTGTGGCAGCATGTAGGTATCCTGGATCGTGTTCAGTGCGATTTCTCCTCAGCGCTGCGGGTTGTAAATCTGACACACTGTAGCACATTCTCCGTCTCGCTCTCGAAAGGGGCTGATTTGGCTTCTCGAACACCGACCGTAGGAGGGATTCTAAAAAAGAGCCAAGATCTGTCACCGGCCTGTTCATCAAAACCGCTCTTCAGTTCAAGACTCCTGCAAAGATTTGTCATACACTGACAGTCAGACGATGCTGTGTAAAGGCTGTGGGAAACTGTGGTAACGGTGAATAATTGCACTGTCTCTCTTCAAGGGAAGACCACGAGCTAAGCAAATCAGGCACGAGTCTGACATTGCCTGTGTGTAACTTGGTGTGAAATACTGTGGAAATGTGCACGATTTTATTGCACTACATCTGCAACGCCTTTAAGTGACCTTAAAGGAGTAAATATTATCATTATTATTTCAGTATTATTAATCTCCACATATTTGTTTACTTCTCACAGAGATCTCCAGGATGATCTCCATATCTGGTCCTTTTTTATGCACTCTGATACTTTTCGTTTTTGTCAAACTCAAACTAGTTTCACTTCTGTGGGAATAAGCTGAGAAGAGAAGTGAACTTTCATTTGAGGTTTCAAGCCAGAAAGGGATTAAACGACAACACACTGGTGTGTTTTCTGTGCGGTTGCATGGGTTACGTGGCTTTAACAGGAAGAGAAATGAGTTATGCCAGAAAACTGGGAAATATGTAGCTAATTAACTAATTCCACACAATTTGTTATTTGTGAAAGAGCTACAGGTTGATAGCCAGGCTTTTAATGATTACTGTGGTAGCTGACAGACTGTGTCAGGTCCTGCTGGCTTTACAGACAACAAGAATTCTTCCAGGTCAAAATGGAAGCAGGAACTCATTTAATTAATTAGGAACATAACTAATCAGCGAAAACATATAAAACAATTATCTATTAAACAGCAAATAAGCGGTCAAAGTGCACCTCTCTCACCTGGTTATAGATGGACATCAAATACTCCTTCCTCCACTGCCTCTATATCCTCCTCAGCAATTACTAGTGGGAACAGAGAAGGTGAGGGCAAAGAAATAAGTGGCGGTTTGGTCAGCCATCTGGAAATGCAAAGCATCGCCTAAAACCCAGAAATGTGCGGCCTTTGTCTATTTACCATTCCCAATTCATTCGTCTGGCAGCATTGTGCTGCCCACTGATGGAGCAGGTTTGCACTGATACGGAATTGAGCCAGGCAGGGCGCCACTTTTGCTAATGTCTGATGAAAACACTGCCTTTATGAGTCACTAGCCTCACTGTGGTGGACCATTTACATTTCCATTGCAAATTACACTCTATTGTTGGAAGAAAACCCTCCAAATGTCAGCTCCCCATACACTCAAAGGAAGACAAAAGCCCCCATCAAAAAGTGGAGGTGTTGCAGTGGTGACATGAAGTCAAAATTCCTCCAGGCTACACTTGTTTATCTTTGATGCCTGCGATGGGAGATTCTATTTTATCAGCATGAGGGGTCAAACTTTAAGGTCTGTACACATATCAAGCTAGCTGGTACTGTATTCATTCCTGTGAGAAACAAAGATTCTAAAAACAAATAACTCGATGCTTGAAAAATACACTTATTCTGTGGGGGCTTTTTGCTCATGCCTGTAGGCCACAGCCAGCAGCAGGTAGTTGCATAAGGACCATAGATATATATATATATATGTGTGTGTGTGTATATATATATATACTAGAAATAGGAGGGCTGGCTCTATCCAAAAAGGCTGAAATTGATCAGAAATGTTATAAAAGACAGTTATCAGTGGAATCACAAATCATTTTTTAATTTTTAATGTAATACGTATTTAGACATGTGCAGGGGTCCATTTCAGCAATCATCCTCTTGGAAACATGAGGGATGCTAGCTGCATGTAGATGCATCTTACCAGTGTTCTGCAGGCTGGGTGGGGTGTTAGCAGGAGGAGGGAAGCTGTAGGATCTGGCCTGGAGAGCTGGCGGCGCTTCATGGCTGATGCTCTTGGTCCTCTTCCGGCACTCAACAGCCAGCCGGCTTCGGCAGGCCTTATGGCAGTTGACCCCGCAGGCTGCAGTGGGAATGTTCGCATGATGGGAGAAAGATGGAGGCAGGGACAGGTTTCGGGAGAGGAGGAGAGGACGGGGGGATCGGAAGGGAGGGAGGGACAATCGGCGAGAGAGCAGGCGAGACAGGAAGAAAGGATGAGAGGGCCAGGGGCGAGAGGAAGATGGAGGTGGAGAAGAAGGGTCAGACAAAGGGACGGGTGCAAACTGATGAGACGGGGCAAACGGGAGAGCTAACGGTGACAGTAAAGTGCTTCGACATGCTGTACAGACACACGAACACTGGCACATGCACACGGTAAGGCCGACTGTGCCCGACAACAGCTCTGTCAGCTGTGGGTAGTCTACAAGGAGAGGAGTGATGGGTCACCCAGCAAGGCAGCAGGAAAGCACCTGAGTTACTGGAATCCATGGCAACAGAAATCTTTCCTGGTTCATTTCTTCACTGTCACTGGTGGTAGTCACCTGACTTTAAATAACTATAAAGTGTGCAGATAAGCATCATATCAAGAGAAGAAAACAGTAACAACCTACATAGTGGCAATATAACTAATTTTGGTCATACTGGATTTTTGAATAATGCTTATTTCTTTAACTCACTATGAATTTTTCATTCTAAAATAATTATCACAGATATTCGTCAGTTCCCAAATAATGACACATACCTATCAGTCTTTGCTTAAACTCTCATGTACTCTCATGTCTTTCCAATGTATATGAAGCTATAAATGTTGCTACTTTTCCCAGTCTTCATGCTATGGTGAGCAAAGCAGCTGGGGGATGACAATTCAAATTTAACAAGGAGATCTTAGAGCAGTCTTAAGGTCTAAAGCAAAAAAAAGAAGCCTACTTGCTAAAACGTCAAAAAGATAGAAAGAAGCAAAGATGTTTCTGTGATATGGATGTTAGAATGCTGGCATGAGCACAGCCCCACATCTGTTCAGACAGTGAGAGGTTTCTGATTCAAATCTCAGTAGCTGACATCTACTACCCCATTACACACACCAGACAACCCACACACATCAAGAGCGCTCCTGCACTGCACTGCACTGCAGTGGGTGATTCATTTCAATTATGTGCCTGCCGGTCTGTCTACCTCCCTGAGTTTGGGCTAACAATGGTAATGGGGATGAATGGCTGTGGGGCTCTCTCATTGACTTCCCCTGGTCTCATTAATGGAACAAGCCAGAACTAAAACTCTCAGTCAGGCTCACAGAATGCACTCCTGTAGAGTGGAGAGGACACGGGAGAGTGTGAGGGTCAGTGGTGTGTATGTGTGTCTGTATACACAGAGAACTGCATCGATCTCTTTGTGTGGATCTGCTTGTGTTATTTTTTAAAGCAATCACATGCTTGTCTTTGTATTTTAATAACAAACACAAGTTAAAGATTTAAAGCTCCTTACATAACTTGCCTCATTCACGCAAGCACTTTTTGCTACACTTTTTCTATGTACCAGTCACACAACAGAGAGCAACTTGGTGTTAACATCTTCCCCGAGGATGTTTGACATGTAGACTGGAGCAGCTAGTGATTGAACCACCAACCTTCGGATTAGCAAATGACCTGCTCTACCTCTCCTGAAGTACTAATCCGAGTCTCCCATCCAAGTACTAACCAGGCCCGACAAGATCGGTTGTGCTTAGGGTGGTATGGCCGTGACCTAGTCAACATGACGTCATCATGAAAAATAAGAAATTACTAATCCTTAAAGTTGTTACACTAATTCAAACACAAATATCTGTATTTGTTAACACAGGTGTCCTTTTGTTCTCCTACTTAGACCTCCAAAGCTCCAAGAGAACAACAAAGCATTACATCCTGCGATACACAAGAACTCTGCACACAATACAGTACTACTGTGAGGTTTCTCAAGCTGTCATTGCATTAACACAATACTTAACTTCTTCTAAATAATGAGATATTCACGCTAGTAACTGAACAAACTGTGTAGGCAAGGCTGACTGAGAAATCTTTGCAAAAACCTGACGTGGAATTTAGTTTATGCAACACAGAAAAAGCAGGGAAACGCCATCTATGAAATATCTGCCCTACCTTTCTCGCTCAGATGTCTGAGCTGTATCCAATCACTCCTTAAAAGACTACAGCAGATGGAAACTAGGTTTATTTGCATTTGGAGAGCAACATATTTGTTGCAAATTATTTAGAGAGTTTAACGTCTGCAGATCATCACTCTGCTTTACAACATCAGCACGGACCACCAACAGCATGTCCACAGAGGGGGGGGTGGACAAGCTGCAAATGTGTTTAAGAAGGTAGCCGGCCTCTGTGTATGTGCATATGTGAAATGAACCAGCTTCCTCAAACACAGGTCCACTTGGAAGCCTGAAAGGGCAAATAATTCTCCATTGTGTATAGTGTGCTCTCCGGTGATGGAGTTTATCCAGCTGCTTAAGCAGAGGGCTTTGAATATAATTAAATGTGTGATATGTTTGATGACATTTACTTAGCACTCAAAAATCTGTGGAAGGTGCAACAGATGGGAATCGATGGCTTCAAAAAAAGGCACTAATTCCTTGAAGCTTGTACCCTTCTAGCTAGAACAAGTTTATTTGTGCAGAAAACAGCGAGCAAAAGCTGAACGACTCCTCTCTTACCTTTACATTTGTAGCCTTGCTTGTAAAATCCCCAGATCTGGAAAAAAAAAAGAAAAGAGAGGGGAAAAGGAGTGGGGTTGGGCAATAATCCTGATTTTATTTTGTTTAGGACACAAGGCGCTTTATATAATGAGGTAAAGACACTACAATAATACAGAGAAAACTGCAACAAACAGGCAACTGTGAGTAAGCACTTGGCAAAGCACGGCAAGTAAGAGGTACAATGAAGCAAAGAGACACGTAAGGTGTGAGAGCGAGATAGAGGGAAAGAAAAGGGGGAGAGAGACGGGAGGCCGGCTGGACAGAGGGGGTGGAGGGGGACCGAGATCAAGCGGGATGCAGGGAGCGCACAGGCAGTGGGGGAACAATGACATGAAAGAGCTGAACTGGAGATCACACACCGCACTGGCACATCTGAGGAGGCACAAAATATCCTGACCTCTTCACGTACACACATACAGACACACACAAACCTACATGAATGACAGCAAAGCCACATACACCTGTAGGTGCACATTTGCACACTGACACAAAGAAAGTCTCTCTCACGCACACACACACACAGCCAGAGGCTTTAAAACAAAGAGAAGTTAGTTCTGAGCAGAATATCCAAACACAACTATCATCACAGCCCTGCCTACGCTGACTGACCTTTAAAGCCTCTGTAGACGCTAAAACACAACACACTACAAACAACAGCTGGAAACATGCTGGTTTTAATTTAAGCTTTGCCACCTCTACTGGCTGTAGTTACACATTTGATATTTAAAAAATGCACCGGGAGACGTTTATGTTTCTATTTTTGAAATCATTTCTAGTGCCTCAGTGCTGAGTTTTCAACCAGCACTGACAAGCAGTGTGTATTTAATTTCTCAGGTATTTTAAGGCAATCTTTTATCAAATAGGAAAGTTCAAATAAGGGAAACTGTGCTGTCTTTAATGCCCCGACTGTAACAAATCTCAAATGTCATTCTGTTCCTGCTAAATTGCTTAACACAAAAAAAGTGACAGAAGGTAAAATTTGGCTTTTATACGATGAGAAAAGTTTCCATTTATCATTCTACTGAATTCCCACGAACCTTTTTTTGTTATTGCCATTTTATTTTAAGTATTTTCAAATGAGGGAACAAGTTGTTTTCTAAGTGACTGACATCGGCCATTATTGTGGAAGAAATAATGGAAGAAAATGTCCAAATTTGGAATTGGAATCACTTTATCTAGACAAGCTCAAAAGTACCCTATTTTTTTGTCTCTAGTGGAGGAAGGGGGTTAACTGATCGAACTAACATTTTAGTCTGTCAGACAAAATAATTTGCAGTAATTTATGTCATGCATATAAGTAAAAAAAAGAGCACACATCCCACCGTTTCCATGTGCACACATGGAAAAACAGGGACAGGGAGAGCAGCAGCATGACCCTGTGCAGGACGCAGCAGGCAGGAAAGCCTGGTGGACGGGCACGCCTCTTTCAGTCAATTATGTTTAAGGCTGTGAAATCATTTGCAGTAAAGCATCACTGTTCACTGTAAATGATTCTCAGAGTAGACGCATCCTTCTCGGCCTCTTGCCAATATTTTTTATGTTACATCTTTCAGAATCAGGCTCAGGACTGGGAGTTAAATTTAACATGTAGTTTTTAACCTCCATTATTATTTTTCAGTTTGTAGACCTTTATGCTAGTTTAAGAACCTGTAACCATATCAAACACATAATATGACGTCAATGTACAATTAACCCTGCAAACCAAAAGCTCATCGACAGCTCCAAACACTTAGTTTCAGACATTACATACTCTTACCAAACTCTGCAGTCCAGCAGGACAAGGTCACCCACACATGTCCATAGTAGGCTTGTTTAGAAATGCTAGTTTGCAGTATGAGCATACATGCATGTACAAATGTACCTTGGAAATCAAGTATATACTGCATACTGCAAAAGATCTGTGACTGTAATGAGATATTTTTATCTTTTGTCACAAGGTATGAACACTCTCGTAACTCAAAACAGAATAAGAGATGCAGCATGCGTCAAAAAGCCTCGATGCATCACTCTGTGTAATTTCTCTTCTGAAACTTGTTTGAATCTTTTCCAGAAGCCTGCTGCATCCTCCTGAGATGGAGAAGCTTGCATACAGTGCATTGTCAGCTTGCTTCTGTAATCTGTAAGCCAGTAATTAAAATAAAAGACCAAAGAAGAATGCAGGCACCACAGCACCAGACTGAACATCCTTGTGCGAATACTGGTGACTGGACGCTGGTGTTTACAGAAGGCCCGGCTGGAATTGGACAGCATGTTTTAGGCAAGTGTTGAAAAATGTGCTGCAGGAAAATATTTTGTTTGCACAGGAGCCAAGAGGAAAGCAGACAGATGAGGAAGTGGTTGGTGTACAGTATCTACCTCTGCCACACACACACACAGATATATCCAAAGGAAGAGGCAGACTGCCAGGGTCCTTATCTTTCCCTGCTCTGTATTCTGAATTTCCCCCATGACGATTTAAAAGTAACAGACTTTCCCCAGAGTTTAACGTGCTGCTGTGTACATGTTTAATTTTAATGGAAACACATACGGTTGTCTGTACGTCTCTCTCGAGAATTGGTCCGCTTATAATGCAATATAAAGAAATGAATGTCTCTACTTCAACATTAAAGGCCTGTTCTCATTACAGCTTAGTCACTGTCTGTGTCTCAATAACACAGAGATCCTTGGGGGACTTTTGGGAACGTTGAGAGCCAGAGGACGCACACTCACACACCCTTAACACTGCCACAGACGAGGGTTATCATCTCACCCAGTTAACTTCCTCTCATATTTCCCAGAATGCAACTTCAGCAGTGTGTGGCTGCAGCTCAAAGTGATTGCACTACCCTGACCTGACAGGAGGAACCTTAAAGAGTTGTGCTACCACGGCTTGACAGTGGCAGCCAAGGCAAATAATGAAGTGCATGACACTGGGGCATTTATAAATCATACAGCTGAGTCAGTGCCTAAAATCGAGTTTTTCATGGACTGTGTTTCATGAACATTTTAGGATGGACTGAGGTCAAAAGCAGAATTATACACAAGCTGAAAAGATGGCTACTGTTTAAGTTTTAGGCATAGATGTTTACTCACAAAGCCAGCACAGTGTTCACAGAACGTGGGCTTGACATAGGTGGTCTCCGTAAAAGTGTGGATGAAACCCATCTTGCAGTTCAGCAGAGAGCTGGCTTTCATAAAGTAGTCTATCATCTCCTCCCTGCTGATCTTCCCGTCTCTGTAAGAGGACGCAGAAAGAGACGAATGTCACAGAAAGCAGATTGTAAGTTGGCTCAGTCTATAAAGTGCTTGTGAATAAAGCTACAGATTCTCACTGGTTCTTGTCCAGTTCTCCAAACTTGCTGAGGTATGGAAAGTTGTTCCTGATTGCTTCAAATTCATCCCTGGAGATATTGCCATCGCCATCTGTGTCAAAGTTCTTGAAGACTGACTGAAAAGAAGAAAGATGTCAAGTAATTAGGCTGTTTTTAGGGAAAAGTGATTACTGTGATTGCCTGAAAAATAACACAATAATTTATGTATTTAAAATTTAGATCCACAGATTTGTCCATGCAGTCTAAAAGATGATTTTATAATCCAGCAGTTTGATAATGAAGAGCACTGGTGAGCGTTATTGTTTTTGAATTAATCATTTTAGTGGTAAAAGCCTAGAGATGTATCAGTTTTTGAACTTTTGATCTCTGACAGTTGTGGTGGTGAGTACAGCCATAGCTCATTTTTATCCTTATCCTTGTAGCACCTCTCAGGCTCTGAGAGATGTGAATATGAAGGGAGCAGAGAAACTCACTTCCACCATCTTCTCTATGTGTTTCTTGATGATCGTGGGGTCAGCGCTGGGCTTCACCGAAACGGCCCACTCATCAATCATACTGGGCTTGGGATCAGGTGCGGGGGCAGGGCTGGAGTTCTGCTACAGTTGATGAGAAATCAGAGACCATGAGATCAATAATAAACCAGGGAAGTGAAGCAAAGAAAGCTGCCACACAGGGCAGAAGTCAGGAATAACCTCGGTGGATCAGAATGAAAATACTTTTTGAAAAAGATTTCCAGCGTAACAATTCTGATATTTTAATATCTTAAGATAAATATTGTCTACAGTATATTTGTCTGAAATGCAGGCAGTTTTAGATTGAGGTTCAGAAGGCACGCTTAAAATCACCATTATCTATCATAGCAAGTCTGTAGAAAAGCAATATTAGTGCATGAGAGGTGAGGGGCTGGGAACACACGGGATGAGTATATCACCATGCTGCTTACCACTGGCTTGCGTGGTTCCCTCTGTAAAGACATCTGATAGATCTCCTCTTCTGTGTGGTATTGGTCCAGAGACACCTGCACAAACAGCCAATGTGAAAAAGGCACATGAAAAAATTCAAGTAATTTCCATTAATCAGGTAAAATCAGGTATTAACACCACCAGTTATTTCAAATAAGAATACTTTTATTTCTTAAATGTAAAATACTTTTTCTATAAACATAACAAGTAAAGATTTAAAGTTTTTTTATAGAGTTACATTTTGGTTCATACCTTCCAAATCAGTCCTACATAACCTAAACTAAAGGCTAAAATATTGTTTGCTAGCTAAAAATATGACATTTTGAGACATCAGTGGTTTACGCTAGCAGCCTGTGTCTAGTTAGCTATTAAAGTATGAACTGTGTTAGCAAGCTACTGGAGTTAGCTAAGGCACTATACATATTTAAAATGGTAAATGGTCTGTATTTGTATAGCGCTTTACTAGTGCCTAAGGACTCCAAAGCGCTTAACATATGCAGTCATCCACCCATTCACACACTGGTTTGATTTGATTTGATTGATTAGCATTCAAATATCTCAGTGAAAACAGAACAAAGATCTACCACAAAGCAAGAAAGCATGAGACAAGGCTAATCAAAAGGTATTGGCTGAAGCATTTGCTTATTACGCCAACCCTTTTAACAAAAGATCTTTTTGCATGCAGCTCCTGTACACAGGGCTCGAAGCAAATAATAAAACAAAGCAAAAACAAAACAAACAAACAAACAAGAAAAAAAACTTTCCACCTTAGATAAGTAACTACATCAAAGCAAAAGAATCAAGAGGGTTTTTTTGTTTTTTTGTTTTTTTCTTTTTTGTTTTTTGCTCTTTTCATTCTTGATTTATATATTTTTCTAATACTGTATTTTTAAACATATTTTTAAACAAGGAAAATGAACTACACCTTTTTAAATCACTGTCATAACTATTCCACAGGTTAACTCCTCTAACAGAAACACATCTCTGCTTTATATTTGTCCTCATCTTGTTTTTTTTAAAGAAATCTGTTCCCCTTAAGTCATACTCACTCTCTCTGACTTTGAACAGCTTCTGAGTACTGGGGCAAAGCAAGTTATTTTGTGCTTTATACATTATCTGTGCCATTTTATACTCAACTAAATCATAAAATTTCAGGGTATTCAGATTAATAAACAAAATGTTAGTTGGTTCTATATAGTTTGATTGGTTTATAATTCTTATAGCTCTTTTTTGTAACTTGAAAATAGGAAGAGTGTTCGTTTTATATGCATTACCCCATATCTCCAGACAGTAAGTCATATATGGAAGCAACAGAGTACAATAAAGTGTGTATAATGATTTTTTGTTCAGGACATGCTTTGTTTTATAGAGAATAGCAATGGTTTTTGACATTTTTGTTTTCACATGGTTTATATGAGACTTCCAGCTCAGCTTATCATCAATTATCACTCCAAGAAATTTATTTTCGTACACTCTTTCAATTTCAATTCCATTAAACCTTATTTTAGATACATTTTTCATTTGTCTAGTGCCAAAAATAATCAATATTGTCTTCTTTATATTTAATGATAACTTATTTACATCAAACCAGTTTTTTAATATATTTAACTCCTTTTCCGCTGTAGTCAGAAGCTGTTCTAGGTCACTGGTGAAGGCAAGCTACATATTTAAATGTAATGAGAGGGGAAGACCCAAAAGTCTTTCGCTTTAATGTGCAGAAACATCATAGCTTAGAACTAACATTTGAGTTTGGAAAGCTTATATAAGTTTACTTTTTGGTTCATTGGTCTGTTAGCAATTTGCTGCAACACTTAGCAGCCTGCAGCCATTTATTGTTGCTAACTGACGGAACTCAAAAGAAGTCACCTAATATTTCATCTGCAAACCATTTCAGAACACTTGTCACCTGCTATATATAGTGATATAGAGCAACTGCATGCTTTCGTTCTGAAAAATATATTGCCACGTTGTCTGAGCGCACACCATTTATTGCAATCTTTTGCTAATTACTGCCCACATACGCACATTGAAACCTTTTATTTAACGGGCATTGATCCAGTTTCTTGTATGGTGCAATATAATATTGGATTCTTTAATGGAGGCAAAGGTTGTCATCACTTGACTTGTGTTAACTCTAAAGTCACATGATGTCAGCTGAAGTAGCTCCATTAAGTGACTTACTGTCAAATGTAGTTCAAAGCTGAGGATAGTCAATAAACATGGATCTATATGCATCTGTTAATTTGTAAGTTTAAAGACAATATATAAGCTTAATTACTTTATATTGTGAAAATTTTAAACAATAGCAATAATCCAAACACCTAAATCCAGGCATCTCATAACAACAATTTGTTGAATATAAATGTATTCACATATAGTTTCTGAACGCATCTGTCGAGTACTTAACACAAAGACCCTTTCACACAGAAACATATTTCTCAGAAGACCTGTTAAGCAGAGTCATCTCTTGCGTACAGAGCCATTATAGCAACAAGTGAGAGAGCAGCATCTATTTTTTGCACTTGTAAACACCACAGACATGTGGCATATACGGTCTATGGTTAACACATTTAGGTCTGCTGCTACACGTACTCGTCTACTGCATCCACGCTTGGCCTCGTACACTTTTGTTTTCCTTAAGTCCTACTCTCTCACTGTACTTGTGTGTCTTGTGTTTTAGTCAGCTGGGACAAAATTGCTAAATTATTTTCTTTTTATTGAACCGTGTCATTTCGAAGAATTTCAGGGAAAAGGTTCAGTTGCAAAGCTGCAGCAAGTACATCTGAAAAGCTGAAGAGAAAAATAACCTGCGTGGTTTGCTTATTTTACCTGTCTAAAATAAAGCATGCCTTCCCCTTTTCATTATTTTGAAGGATTTATTGACTTGCTTTCCATCTTATCGCTGCAAACCCAGCAGGCCTCATGCTAGATCAACTCCAATAAGCACTGGCATAAGATAATTGGATATTGACTCTGTCCAGCAAACTTTTTCTCTTGCCTCTCAGCTCCAGAAGCTGTCAAGTTATTTTCTTTTATTTTCACAGGAGAAAAAAGGAGAAACCAGCTGCAATCTCACAGCAACACCTGCTACCAGTAATTGATCTCCTAGGATTGTTTAAATTCAGAAAGCGCTCAAATTCAGGAGATTCTTGTCTGCATCTGCCAAAAATACTGACATACACACACACACACACTGGGTTGTGAAGTTGTAAAATGCCACTACCACCTCAGCTTTCAAACTAAAGAGCAGGTAGCAACAATTAAGGTATCATTCTCACTCACTGTTACATGATATTACAGTACATCCACTTTATTTCAAGTGTATGTGTAGTAAAATATTTGCTTAAAATATATTTCTTTCTACTGACTTATTTAGTCATTGAGGTAAATCCAAAACATTGCCTTTTGTTTAAATTCCAGTTAGATTTTGGTCTGAATGCAAATCAGTTTAGTCTGTTTTCCCTGGGTAAATAAAAACAGCTGAGGATATCCTCACTGCTGTATATTTCCTGTGTGCTACTGTGCTCTCTAAAAACCCTCTCATTTCTCTCTCTATCAAAATGTTTGTCAAACCACAAATTATGAGCCATTTCCTTTTGTTGTTGCCGAGTGCCACTAGTCAAAGCAGATGTCACTGACTGGCACCATGGTAACATTGGTTACAGTCTTGCATTAGCCTGGTAGGAGGTGTATACTTTTTACTTAGTTTTTTTTTTGTCTTTATTATTGTAAAACTACAAAACAGCCCAGTCCAAATGAATGTGGTCTCAACTAGTTATGTGTATAAAGCAAACATGTCCACAGAGTCAATGTCTTCCATTCCAGCCACTCTGCCAACATAGGCCAGACCAGATCTGTCAAAGGACATCAGGGACATGATTGCAGCCCTGCACATGGCTGGAATGGGCCAGAAGACCATCAGCAAGAAGCTTCGTGGGAAGGGAAAAGCTGTTGGTGCGATTTCTCAGAAATGGAAGAAATATAAAATTACCATCAGTCACCTTTGATCTGCAAGATCATGCCTCACGGGGTGAGGATGATCATGAGAAAGGTTGTGGAAGGGTGAAGGTGGGTTGTGAATTGGTCTTCCAGCATAACAGTGACCCACAATATAGTCTCCAGACCTCAAAATGAAAAATTCAGCATTGGTTCAAACAATTAATTCCGCCACTGTATTTCTGTTGATCTGGATAACCAAGTAAGAATCGTATGAAAGTGAAAATGTCACAATGTCACTATGTTACAATTTTAATTAAACTGATCCTAAGCAGGCCTTAACACAAAGGTCTTTGTTGTTACTTATTACCCAAGCTTCACCTCTTCACTAAGTTTTATTTAAGCCTTTGTATCACCTTGCTGGCAAGTATAGCAATACACATGACAACAAACAGCAGTGAATGCATGCCTCCACCTCAGTTCTTCCCTCAGTAAAGGAATAAATACAGCTGAGCTATTAGTACAGCGATCTCTTAGGTAAAGGGCTTTCTTGAAAAACTGTTCAGATTTCAAAGAAGAGACTGCTGCTACTGAGATCCCCTTGGGTACTTTCAAAGCTAAAGCAACCTGACAGGGAAAGCTTTTTAGTCTAAAGGAATAGACATGAGGTTTCAGTGCAGGTTAACAACTTAAAGTTCAGTGAAAACGATGCTGCAGGGGTTACAACTCTCTGTCCCTGATAAAGAACAATGAGTCACTTCAAACAGTGGAACTGGGCTAGCAGTGTTACGAAAGTGAAAACAACAATGCTGACTTAAATGCCCTCTTTAATGTTCTCTGCACCCAAGCGTTAGCATTAAAGCTAATGTACGATGTCTTTTTCTTTTTTACCCATTTAGTTTTGTGAATTTTGCTCAGCCTGTGACACATTTATTTCTTTCCCTCCTGTACGGGCAGTACAACATCATGTAAGTGCAAATGTAAGTAACCCAGCTTGTCTCGCTTCTGCTTCATCTTGCTGTTCATTTTCAGTGCATTTCCAATCAAACGCTTAGTAACCATTTCTCTGTTATGCCACTGTGGACCACATCTGTAAATCCCATTTGCTTTGTGATTGAAGGTTCATGTTTTGAATCTTTTCCTCTACACATGATCTCTGACTTTTGTCTGTGCACAGATTCTGTCCCAGCTGGCTACAGTCTGTCTGACCACGAGCCAGTCGAATCACAGCAGAACAAAGTCAAACAGACTGCCTGTTTCACTGGCTGGAAATAAAATGTTTCCTCCTACTACCTCCTCACAGCCGTCTGGTTGACAAACAAATGCCACTTCATCATGACTAACTTGATTCGGGACCTGATTTGTCTCTTATTACCCCTTTAACTGCTTTCTGTAGAGGTAGGTAATTGAAGCCAAACATTTCTCTTGGACTCGGAACAAACTTTATACCCACTGTAAGTAAGTTGAGCAGGTCTGTGTTGGCATCGACGTTAGGTGGCGTGGCCTGAATGAGCGCCAGCTCTTGAAGGATAGCGTACAGCTGCTGGGTTTTTGCCAGGTTGACTCGTGTCTTCTCTTTGTCGGCCCAGTCTGGCAGTGCCACATGCACGGCTATCAGGTCTTTCAGGTGCACGCCAAGAATTGGGAACCGGAAGCCGGAGCATTCAGAAAAACGCTTGCGGTACTGACTGTAGTTGCCACATGATGTCACCAGTTCAATTAAGTTGTTAAAAACCTGTCGTAGAGTGAAAGGAATATAGGTTTGAGGAGCAGAAAAGAGAATGCCTGTCTCAGAAAAGATTGATTTGGAAGCATCACAAATATTGTCGAAAACTTTGCTCCAGATGGACTTGCATAACTGTAACTCGCCCAACTGTTGCATTTAACTTTCTAGTCATGTGGCTCAAATTCATAGTTCTAAAAAGGCACTGTGTAGGAGTAATGGGCACAGACAGGGAGCTTGGTACCGCTTACACAGAAGATGCTGAATACTCAATCAGGAAGCATTATCACTTATTAGCTCAGCGCACAGACATGCAGCGAACATTGAATTTGTCTGGTAGCGCCTGGTTGCGGTTGCCAGAAATAGATGACAGATGGCTGCAGCTACTGCACCTTGTTGGTCTCTGCACTGATGTGGGCCTGCGTGTCTTTGAGACGAGAGATGGAGCTGTTGCTGAGGCCGCCCACTACCGCCATGAGTGTATTGAAGTTCTGCAACTGTAGCAGCTTCTGTGAACGGAGGAGGAAGAAAAATTAGGAGTGAGGGTGAAAGAAGAGATATTTTATGAATGTGTAAGACACTGCCAAGAGCAACCTGGCCAAATTTTTTTTTTAAGGCGGAGAGAGAAAAAGATAAAGAAGGGTGGTATAAGTTAGGAAAAAAGACTTACAGGCAGTCAGAAAGATGCAGCTATGGAAATAAATGGTTACAGGGTGAAGAGACTTCTGGGTTAGATACTGAAAGAGTTTAGCAGCCCAAATACACATCCACACATAATCTGAATACCAAGAATTTAGTGAATGCTCTAACCTGTCTATGTCAAAGTTAGGCTAACTCTTTGTGAATGGCGCTCTGTGGGGCTGCTCGCTGCCCTTCAGACTGCTGGCATCTCAGTGAAAATCAATGAGGTCGCTGCTGCGTGGGAGGGCTGCCAGAGGGGATCATTTGATTCAGCTCAAACAACCTTTAGAATCAATTTGCAAAGCAGTATGGAAAGCAGGCCATCATTTGCAGAGTTTAGCTGCACCACGCATACATGTGTTCATCAGTGATGCCTGGGAAAGGTTTCACTGTCAACATGCCACACCTTTCCCTGTCACCTAAGAGTTAGCACACAGTGGACTGGTGATGCGGTATGCTTATCAAACGCAGGTGGAACATTCACAAAGAACACAATGTGCAATAAACTGAAGGCAGCCACGTTCACAATTGAATTTATAATGCAAGTGTGCAGTTGAGAAAAAGACACTAATGAGCATGAGTCATTTGTGATGGGCTCCCAGTAGGATGCCGAAATGGGACACAACCAGCAGAGGGAAGCTTTAGGAAATGTCAAGTGCAATAAGACTGCCTCCTGTGCTGCCTCTGAATACATCTGAAGCCAGCATGTGTTTGCCCTGGGATACATCAGAGAATATCAAAGTTTGTGGCATTTTAAATGGGCGGAAAATGAATGAGGAAATTTTGTGGAGGGTTTGATCTTCTCAGATGTGTATGCTCTAATTTTGGCCCACTCTTAGCCTTATTGGAGGACTTTGGGGCATAAATCGCCATTTAAGGTCATGCAAAGCATCTTAATCGAATTTAAGTGCAGTACAGTTTGTTTCAGTCCTGCATAATCCTGCACAAAGTGTGCTTGAGCTTCAGTGCACAAACTGATGGCCTAATACATTTGACTCTTCCAAAAGGTTCAAATTTTGTCTTGTCAGTCCACAGAATATTCTCCCAAAAATCTTTGGGAGAATCAAGATGTTTTTCAGGTTTTTTTGTTTGGTTAGTTGGTTGATTTGGGGGAGGTTTAGATAAATGAGAAATCGGCCTCTGTGTTCTTTTTGGTCAGCAGTGGTTCTATCTTTCACGGCTCTGTACATTCAAGTGAGGAACTAGATTGTGTTAAGCTTTGCTGATGCATTGGACACATGTTTGCAAACTGGCTTCATTCACGGCACTGCCCCAGAATCTGAATATAAAGAAGTTGGTGTAAGGTGTTTCATGGGAAAGATAGTTACTTTGGTTTTAATCATTAACTGCATAGACAGCCATGCACAATCATCCTAAGAGGACAAAAAAAAAAGGGAATTTAACACTAAGCATTGGCTTCATTAAAATGTCTGCACAGATCAGCTGAAGTTCTGTATTCATGAATTCATTCTACTTAATAAAGCCACAAATTAACCTTCACCAAACAGGGTTAGCTGTGCAGCTCATGTTACCATGGTTATCTGCTCTGGTTGAAACTGAGCCAGCTTTGTATGTGAGGATGTTCTCAAGCACAGCGGTCCTTTGACAGTAAAATCAGAATCAAGCCGCAATTTCCAGGGATGAAAAATGAAGCAAACGGGAAATGTGAAACACTGCAGTTCCTATAATGGCCACTTGAAGCTGGCTCTAAAAGTCAGACTTTACAGAATTAAAAAGCATAGCCTGGGACAGAGAACTGTTTTAACCTCTGCGAATCATTCTGAATGTGTACACATTTGAGCAAAGTAAGTATAATTGCATTATCGAACAGCCAGCAAAAATAAAATGAAGCCTAATGGCAAGTCATTCTTTTCAAATAACTGAAGAACAAAGAGTTCTCTGGTGATGGCAGTGAGTCAGCAGTGTGGGGATCACCACCGTTATTACGAAGGATCTCATAACAAACGAGAATATCCACCTAGCAGCTGGAAGGCTGTTTCAATCCACAACCACAAAGGCCAATGTGTATTCAACACAACAAATGTCATCAGAGCGCATTACAATTCATCCAAGGGATGCACACTTCAGTCACTGCACTGCTTTAATATTGTGGATAAGGAAACACGCTTTTTATTTTTGATTAGTACCAATCCAAATTAAACCACTGACAAATATAAAAGAGTTTAATTGGTGCACAGAACATCATGTGACCAGCTGACTGGCCAATAGACACCGCTGTTTGATGGCGATCTTTGGATCGGGCTGCACAGAAAGAGCTCATTATCCACCGTCTGCACAACCGAACTTTAGCTGTTCATCCTGTCCTCACCTCTAAAGTATCTAGCTCCCTGAAACACTCAAACAACCTTAAGTGTTCAGTTTGAAACACTTGGGAGAGCTCTGCTGGGCTTCCCCTGATAAGAACCCTGCAGAGGTGTTAGATTGCTGGCGTACCTCAACAGAGCACATTATGTGCGTCTAGCATGTGTTCTGCTGAAGATGAAATAAATGGAGAACGGGAGTAGACCTAAGCGACTCATAAAGATGAAAACAAACCCACACTAGACTTGCAGTAAGTAATGAGCATGCATTCACAGAGCACTGCAGGCTATTAAGATGAAAATTCTTTTTCTGCACTTTCTATGGCTGACTGAAGCTTCCTCTTAACGGCTTAGATGACTGAGTTGTCGCGTAGAGGGGAAACTCAGCCCATCTGGCAGACCGAACCAAGCGATAACATCAAGCTGAACTGAAATCAATTACAGAGAAGCCCCGGGTGCCACTTAAAGACATGCGTCTGTAGTGAAAGGACGACAGTCTCCAGACATATGGTTGGAAAACCATACAGCGCAGCTAGCTGGCAGTTTCTTCCAGGAAATTGTGGAAGTATTAAGATTAAGTGAAGATTAGGATTAGAGCGATCATGACATGCAGACGACCATAACGCTATAGCGAATGAGTACAGAAACAGGAAGGTGGGCACAGTTTTCAGTCATATTTCTCTAGTTGGAAACTAGATTCCTCCACTACAAAACATCATAATAATATTAATGAAGCATCTATAGAAAAGCAATTTTAAAAAAAGAAATAATTGCAATAATTCTGTCAATCAAGTGTATCTACAACTGTTTTGTGTCTGTTGTCTTTTTTGGCAAATGAAAAATGTTCAAAATACAAGTTTATGGAGGTGGTAAGAGAATCTTTAAGCATAAGTGTACAAAGGTAAACAGAAAGAAAAATCAGTTGTCTGTAGCATATGTGCAAAATAAATATTTCATTTTTAAATATCACCATTACCATAAATATCATATTTTCCTGAAACCCCCTAAACTGAAGGCATGACTGTAGGGCAACAGGTCAAGCTTTATGCTAAAAACTCTGCTGCAATTTTTTCTACTCTGTGTGATGTAAATATGAGAGGATATTTATAATATGGTCATGTCAGACACGCAGCTCTTTCTGCATCACAGAAGCCCACCCACTGTTTCCAGGGGTCAGCCAGTCAGAAGTAAGCTGACTGAAGCCTGTTTCAGACGGTGGATGAAGTCATGGACTGCACCAAGACTCAGCGTGAGATAAGTAAGGATTATTTGGTACTGTGAGTCACAGAGAACTACTCTGGTAAACTACAGGAACAAAAAAAACCATAGATAGCTGGAACTGAGCCCAAAGATCTCCTTTATTTTTAAAAGATGCAAAATTGGCAGCAGCATTATCTCACTGAGCAGGGAGCTTGGAATGCTAATACCTCCAATGCCTTTTTTGAATTAATGTTCCCTTTTTCACACAGTTGTGCTGCTAATGGGAAATCCTAGTATATTTTGCATTTGTTTGCAAGTCATAAGAGATCCTCGGTGACTTTTCCACTTCTCTCTGTTCCTCCTGGTTTTCACAGTTGCTTCCAAATCACCTTTCCTGCTTTTTTCTCTCTGCCCCCAACAATCACCCACTAATACTCTCTATCCATGAACCCAGAACCGCCAAGCTTTCCCGATTGTAACAGACCCAGCAGACAGACCTGTGCCACTCGGATGAAATGGGAGATAACAGCAGCTCTCTGCGGGGCGGTGGGCTTGCTGAGCACCATAAGCTGGATCCATTGTGAGACGCTGTTAAAGAGCGTGATGAAGCGCTCTAAGATGGGGTTATCCACCGTGCAGCCATGCATCACAAAGCTGTGGTAGTCCTGAAACTAGAAGGAGAAGTAAAGCATTGAAAGCCTTTATCTATTTAAATTACAGTACATCATATTCACATCCCACAGCAATTCTGAATATTAGAAAATGCCTGACGACAAACATATATGCAAAGGCCTTTCTCTTGTTTTGTATATATTCCTCTTGATTGTAGACATTTCTCTGTTTGTTATTTCTGCTGCCTTACTATTTATATTTTACTCCTGCACAGTTGGTGTAGAGCACCCATAATTCTGTTGTACACGTGCAATGATGATAAAGGGCTATTCTATTCTATTTTATTATTTTCTATTAACTGACTGTTTTGATTATTATGCCCTCCAGTTCAACAATAAGGCACCTTTAAAGGTGTAATTTGAAAAGCTACTTTCAGTCCACAAGGGGTGATCACAGCAGGTAGTTCTACATGTTTGATACAGCAGAGTTTTTGACAACCTTCCTGGCGAAAATGTCTCCTATGTCCATACAGTAAACCTGGATATGCAGTTGGTTAGCTTAGCTGTGCACAGAACTTTAAACAATGAAATAACAAGACTGGATACAAAATACAGACACAGTCTGAAATGAGAAGTACCGTAAGCCTGCATTATTTCTAATAGTCAAAGCAGGCGGAGACTCATCTGTTTCCAAAAAGAAATATTATACAGTATAGACTCTGAGGACATAACCCCATTTCTTACCCGATTTATAACCTCAGCAGATCCTTTCCCGATTCATTTATGGTCTGATTTGTTAGTTTCAAGTGTCTAATAGAGCTACATGTCCAAGTCAAATTTGGGTTAAAATTGCCACGAGACAGAAAACCATTAAGGTATTGACAACTTCCTATCACATGAGCATCTAATGCTGTATCAGTCCGATTAGCCCCACAAACACTGGATGACGCCATTACGTCTGTCTAATGCAATCTATGGGAAACAGCAAGCCTGGTTTATGAAATTATATTATTATATTAACTGTCTGTAGTCAGTCAAATGCAGACAAATAATATTGTGTAATTACAGCTGTACTCGTTGTTAGATCCTCATTAATTCGATTTTTTGTTTCCTTTTAGGCAAAACTCTATTTTAGCAGAGCCATGAAGACAAAGACAAAAGAAACGCCATTAACACTGTCCCTACTGTGCCACGAGCATCATCCCACTGGAATAAATTATCAACAAAAAGAATCCTCAAGCGTTTAATTCTGCCCAGACCCAGTCATTTCTTTTGCCTCCTGAAATAGCGCTCAAATTGAACACTATTTCCAGTCACTAAATATAATTACTGCCCAGTTAAAGTTGATTTTAACAACTATTGCTTAGCAACTGCAGTGAGCCTTGAATCATGTAAACACAGAGTTACTTGAGAATTTAAGAGCTGTAAACATCACAGTAAAAAAAAAAAAAAAACAGGGCCATGGTCACACTGACCAGGATCTTGCAGAAGGATTTGTATTCCAGATAGGTCAGGTGTTCAGCCAGTTCACAGGAGTCGAGGTGATCAAACAGCAGGGACATTTTCCTCTTTTTGGACACAGATGGGACACGCTGGGTCACCTGCCGCTTCCATTTATATGACGGCCTGAGAGGGGAGAAAAAGCACGGTTGTCTCTTTTAAGGTCTTTTGGAACTGCACCATAAAAAACTACACAAGGATCACTTTTATAGCCGCTGCAAAAGTTACAGCTGGCCTTTAAGGGCTGTTGGGGGAAAAAAAGGAAAAACTACCATGAGAAAATGATGATAGTACAATGTGTCTACAATATAAAAAGCCCTGAGAAACCTCATATTTGTAGACTGAACTACAACTCTCCAACTATTGCTGTAGAAGTTATTTTTAGAAGGCTATTCCCCTGCTTATTCTAAGATATTCTGGCATAGAAATCAAATCAGCTCCACGAATTCATTTCCTTGGAGCAATAAAAGAAAGCGGAGCCATATAGAAGTGGCATTTCTCAGAAAAGGACAGGTCACTGGCCCTGCATAGCACAGCTCAGCAATTTCAAATAACAGGCAATAAAGGGCTTGCTGACATAAACATCGGCAGATGGGGACACTCATTCAAACTGTCAACAACACACGCAGCATTCGGCGGCCTATTCACTCACACGCTGTCCAAGTCAATGAGCTGACTCTGCCTCTCATTGCCCTCAGTGGTCAAGAGGTCTTTATAGTCTTTGATCTGGTCTGCCAGCTCCGGGTTCAGATTGAACTCTGCGGGAAACTCAGAAATCCAGTACCTGGAAGAAAGAATAAAGGGAGAGAGAGAGAGAGGTGAGCGTGATGGCATACACTGAAAGGACTGGGCTGTGGTCAACTCATAATTTAAAATAGCATTATAGTTTTGGTATTTGATGAAACAAAGCACCTAATTGGAGCACATGAAGAAGACCATAGAAAAAACTAGAAAGGATAAAAGGATAAATGGAAATGACACTTGGAAAGATCAAAGATCTCTTAGAAAAAGGCAACGAGACGAGCAGAAGTCAGAAAAGATGGTTTGTTACTTGACGAGGTGGCATATTTTTGTTCGGCGCTCATCGGTGCAGCCATCCTCTTGAGATCTGATGCTGAAGTCAAGGTGCAACCGAGCTGCTCCTCGCAACACTACAACAACTTCTTCAAAAATCTCATTTAGATTTCACAGATTTAGAAGGGGAACAAAGTCTAGCACTATTTCCATTGCTCTGTGCATTATGTGTGAAAAAAGATATATTCATAGGCAGCATTCTTAGAAAAACACTGAGCAAAAAAAACACATAACATTTGTCACTGATGTAAGAACACTCAGAGGTGAAGGATACTTCAGCACGAGCTTCTTGGCCAGGTCAGCTGAAGGGATATACCAAGGGTGCATCATGAGGAACATGCGGACCAAGGATGCATCCTTCAAAGTGCCCTTCTCATCTATGAGGAAAAACAGGTCAGTCACAGTCACCTGTCATTAAGAAGATACCTCAGCATGTTCAATTTGTGCTTGTGTTTTTTATTCTACTGCCTCCCTTTACAAGCAGATGAATAATTCATATAAAAGAAATAATACTTAAATAACCAACCAAAGGCTTTGATGCAGGCTTCCACCAGCTCGTCCACAGTGGCAGACTGTTCCGATAATATGGACTCCATCGTAGCTGTCCTCTCAGTTTTCCCCCTCGTTTACCTCTCTGTGGTTTGAATCTGTTGGCTCTCACCGAACACAAAAGGAGATGAAAAGAGAGGGGAGTAATTATTAAGTAAACACAGGGGAAGCAAAACTTACTCTGGCTACTGCAGCACACTTAAAATAGCTGTGGTTAGTTCTTCTATATCCTGTTCAGCACTGCAGAGTGGCATATTCATTGCAGTAAGTTAACTGGGACATGTGCCTGTCAGTGTCATCTGATATGATGGCCAAAACACATTCATGGTGTCAACGTGCAAAATCTGCAATGAACTCATTCTACTTATAGAAGCACGTTTTAAGTGACCCAGTTTTCGGGGTTAACAGTTTAAAGTTTTTGCAGTCTGTTAGTGTTGTGTGTGGGGAAATGAGTTGGTGAATTAGGGCTTTAGTTTACAGGGAACAGTTGCACCAATCAGTCTTTACCAAGCCTGGTCCTCACAGCAAAGGCCGGATCTTGATATCAGGACCAATCAAACATAAACCTAGTCTTAACTACACCTATAGTGCATTACTGAATATGAATAATTAGAATATCAACATATCCTAATTAGCGATCCAAGCTGACGGCACTGAATTTAAACAGAAGTAAAACTGCAAACTTTTAATCCGTACTGCCAATCCTGTGTATTTCTGACTCTCTAAATAAGTCGTACACAGAAAACTGATCAGGTTCTATCCATGATTGTGTTTTTTAAATATTATGCTGTATTCATAGTGATACCTATATGGATCTACTTTGCTAAGAACCAAAACAAATCCTGCTTTTCCTGCCTTTGTCTGGAACCCACTAACTCGAGAAGGACATCACTTCCTAACAAAGGTTTCTGGAATGCAGTACTAGTCTTAGCTATTTATATGAAGGCTCGTGTGACTATCATTATTGTCTAACAGCAAGCACTGTGTTCCAAATTTGTCAAATTTGTGGGATCGATGAAGGAATAAACAAAAAGAAGAAGGCAATTTTATACCAAGAAGCCAGGGATTATAGTCCGTTTGAGGTCCTCATGAGACATACGCACACCTGAGCACAAAATACCGTCAGCTGAAGAGCATGAAGGCTACTTGTGTAGATTCTCACCCACAACAAGAACACAGACTTCTATTAGAGCCATTAACATCTAGAATGCCAGGATATGACCCACTGCTGCAACTGCTCCAGTGGTTGGTCATTTGCTTCTCATTGGCCAGACAATTGCTGTGATTACTTCCATCTATACTGCAAATTCACAATAGTAGATTTCTGCTGACCAACGTTATCTTTGACTACAGCCTCATAGAAAATGTTTTATCTTTTGATACACTGGTGGCAAAATGCAGAAACAATAGGTATTTGGATCCATGTGTGTAGTTTGTGTCCGCTGCAGCGAGTAATCAAATGACTATTTACAGCGTTAGTAGATGACCAGCTCCACTTCCTAAACTACAGACGCCCAATTTTTACACGATTGATTATAAAATAGGACCCTTTTAAAATTGTTTTGCCCAGAAGTTTACATAAATATTTGCGTTACATCTTAACCAGCTGAACAAATTACTGCTTCGATAATAAATTGTTTTCAGACTGCGGCAATGCTAGTTTTGTATCAGTAAAGAATCAGATCTATAATCCTGGCTGATTGTTTCGTCAAACTAAAATCAGTTTTTACATTTACACACCAATTCTATGCTTTATAACTGCACTTTGGAGCCAAGCATAATAAACAGTTTTCACCGATGTGTGTGGCTTTTCTATCAGACAGATACTAAGCCACAAGCCCAATCAGCAGGAAACCACTATTTATCTTTTCCTGACATGCTGTAATGCTGTCTGCAGCAGGCTATAAAAAAGTTTGATGAATATTTACGACACAATAGCAAATATTTTGACATGCGTTTCATTCTATCACATATTCATAGGAAACAAGCTAAAAATTTGCATCTGTGCTTTTCTTGATTTGGTAAGGTCTGGCTCCAAGTAACCATGGCAACAACAACTTAATGACCAGTTACTTTTTAACAACATATACACACACCTGAGCACAAAATACCTTCAGTAGAAGAACAAAAAAACAATTTTGGAGTAATCCCATATTCTTTACTTGTGTCTCGATCAGCAAAATATACCATCTTCCAAGTTATGACATGATTAATTGGTCAAATGTATCCATTCATCCATCCATTCATTAAAGAAACTAGTAATTTTGATTCATTTTTATATAGCCCCAGATCAAAACATTGACGGTCCAGTGCAGTGAAAAAAGGATTTGCCTTCCCTCCTGATTTCTTACTTTATTTCATATTTGTCACACTGAAATGTTTCAGCTCATGAAAGATAATTGTAGTGTTAAATAAAGATAACCCAAGTTAATATAAAATGCAGGCAGACAAAAGGCTCCAAACCTACCTGGCCCTGTGTGAAAAAGCAGTTGCCCCCTGAGCCTGGTTGCACCACCCTTGGCATCAAGAACTCCAATCAAGCTTTTGCGATAACTGGCGAGGAGTCCTTCACATCACTGTGGAGGAATTTTGCCCCACTTTTCTTTGCAGAATTGCTTTCATTCACCCTCATTGGAGAGTTTTCGAGCATCAACAGCTTGTTTAAGGTCATTCTTTGACAGTCAGATTTTGACCAGGTCTCTCTGAAATCTGTTTGGTTTTTTGGGAATTCTTTGAGGCTTTAAGAGCTGGACTTGCAGATGTGTTTCGGATCATTGTCCAGCTGCATAATCCAAGTGGGCCTGAACCTCCAGGCGCAAACTGATGACAGTCTCCTGCAGGATTTTCTGGCAGCAAAATTCATGGTTCCTTCAATTACAGCAAGGTAATTGAAGGAACCACCTTCCAGGTCACGAAGCAGCAGTGTCTGACTGTTGGTTGGATCTTCTTTTTATCAAATGCTGTGTTATTTTTATGTCAGATGGTTCTTCCCAGTCTCTTTCTTATTACTGAATCATGAACACTTTCTTTTAGTTGTTCTGGGTTCTGAAGTAATTTTGGGATGGTTCATCAGCGCTCCAAGGTTTCTCCATGATCTGATATCTCTTGGCCTATTTTACTGTGTCAGACTCAACTCGACAATTGAAATTATTTCTAAATAAAAAATTTAAAAAGGGTGTGGCTGTAATCAGGCCTGGGTGAGGCTAGTCAAACTAATTTCATGATAAATATTTTTTATCACATAGGGCCCGATAGATTTGAATAGCTTTTTTCCCCTGACTGAATGAAATTATTATTTAAAAAATTTTTGATATTTACTCTGGTTGACTTTGTCTAATAGAAAAATTTGTTTGTGGTCTGTAACATGTAGGTGTGAACATTTTTTCATGACACTATAAGTGTAAAAGTGACACTAAGGTTAAGCTCAAGTAACAAAGTTAGGTAACAAAGTCCCCAACAACACACTGTGCACTGCTGTAACTTTATTTTAATGTGGTGGCTCTGTGAGTGTGAGAAGGGTGTGATGTGTATGTGTACGTATCCATTGTGCCTGACACAATGAAGCCTTTCACTGCACTGTCTCTGCCGCAACGCGGTGGGTGGACACACTCAATTACAGGCTTCACAAGCTGTCTCAGCCACGTTCTGCAGGGATGGTGGGGGAAGCAAACGTAGAGAAAGAGATAGAAGTATAATCCTCAACCGCAATTTAAATCATCACATTGTTAGGGCGATCAGCCACAGCGCTGATCAGTAGGCAAGATTAAACTGCTGAAACGATATGGTCAGATTACGGGAAGATAAATGGCGAACAACTAAAAAGGCTTTTGTGTTGCTGTAAATAGATATGAAAGTTTCAAGGTGGGTTGCTAAAGTCACCACAGGAAGTAAAGCAGTGTTGCATGTGAGTATTAAAACCTCAGCAAGCCAACACCAAGACCTGTGATGCCTCGCTCAGAAAAAGGAGCCTACACTCCATCAGTATTGGCTCTGTGCACTGGCAGTTACGTCTGCTCGCATGTCATGAATATAATGAGAATGAAAATTGCCTTGAAGTCCTCACTGCAGTAGATAAGCCTGAGGATCATCTAGGTTTGAGCTGAGATGGCCTTGCCTGTGAAAAAATGTGCTCTTCTGTTTCACTTCTGCCTTTTCAGTGTTTATTACAAAAGTGTCCATCCTCAAAACTGAATGAGGACCTAAAACCACTTTCTCCTTCTGTGTGGGGCCCATCTCTCAGGGGCTAAACAAAAAAAGAAAGAGAGAAGCAGAGGTGTTTTAAAGTGTCACCAACGCTTTAGCAGAGTCTAGTCTGGCGCTGCTGAACACACTGTGCCCATCTTGATGATGATGGTATCTTCCCAATTAAAGTGAATACACCATTCATCATCCTGCTGACAGGAACGCTTTGCCATAACCCAGAGAACAATTTTCTCTAAGTTTTTATATGAATTAAGACTGAACTATCTTAAACAGGATCCCTCCTCCCTTCTTTTCTAGACATTCTTTAAGTGTTTTTCCAACAGCGTCTTTCTAATACAGTCCCGATATCTGCAAAGCGGCGAATTGATTGTAAAGAAGCACACACTGCGAGAGCTTTAGTGTCATCCTTGGTTGCCTGGTGACGAGGACCCGGGGCCATCGATCAGGCAGATTAAGGGGTGGATGGGGCTCAGCGGGGATAAAGGGAAGTTGACGGGTGCCTGGTCAATCCTGGCCATGCAGAATCTGCTGTGTGCTGCTGCTTTACTGGGCAGTGAAAAAGGTCACATCCTCCGGCTAGACGCAGTCAGACCCCCTTCAGACTACTGCCTCTCTCGTTTTCGATATCACGGTCACAGAATAACAGGCGAGCTGCTTTTCAGCTCATTCTCAACTTTACACCAATGCTTTTGAAGTTTGACCCATAACAGTGAATTCACGCTGACATATTATTGTTGCTACTGTTTAAGAACTGATGACTCCTGTTGGACACATTTAAAAGCACCTGAAATATACATGTAGTTAAAATAATGAGGTTAACATAACTAATAATAACAAATAGTGGTTTTATAGGATGTCTGTGAAAACTGATATTCCAAATATGACGGCTTCTGTTTTGCTGCTCAAAT